TCCTTTCATTCTCGATCACTCTATCATCCTTTTTCTTTTTTCTTCTTATTGTTTTTCCTCCCTTTGTTTTCTTTCCGCGAAGAGATAGCGCACATTAATAATAATAATAATAATAATAATAATAATAAAAAAGAAGTATTAATTATTTTCGACTTGTTACTTTTTTAATAGAGTTATTTTTTGTTTAACCTATATTTTAATATTCTTCGCTAAAATCCTACTCGTTCAAATTATAATTGCTCATTGACATCGTATTTTGTTCGAATTTTATTAGAAGTATCTCTCATTTGCGTAAAAATAATTTCTAAATTTTAAGTATAAATATTCGATACTCGAGTAAAAGTTAATTTCTCTAAAGTTTAAACGTTTATACATTTGTTCGTTTGTTCTTAGGAAAAATTAAATCCGTATGAACATTTTTGACACAAGGTATAGACGACAAATATATTTTAAAATAATTGAAGCAAGGAATATATAAAAGAGTATCTCAAAAATACGTCCGAATAAAAATGTCACATAATATGTCAGATCGTTGCATTTGTCATTTATACAAATCTCAAAAATGTAAAAAAAAAACAAAAAAAAACCGCAGTGTCATTTCGTGGCGAATTATAAATTTATTCTTTGTTCTTTTATTTCCTGTTGCAGAAAATTACGTGGGGAGAATGGTCGCCCTGGTCGAAGTGGTCGCAGTGTTCCAAGTAAGTCAAGAAACGATCGATAATCATTTCAACTTTGCATCGCGTTCTTCTTCCTATCGCATCGTTTCGTCGAAATGAAAAAAAAAAAAAATAACCAAAGAATAAAAAGAGCACGGAAAAATATTGGGAAGAAAAAAAAATTGTAAGATTATTAGGTAAAAATAAAATTTCCTTAAGAGAACGTTACGTAAGCACATCTCCATAGTATAGATACGATTCGAAATTTGATAAAGTAAAATTCTCGCATGCTTAACTACCGCTTCTTCTGATATTACATCCGGTACTTTATCAAGGTGTAAAGATTATCGTCCGACAGATCGGAACTTTCGTGACCCGAACGTATTTCGAAACTGCTGTATCTCCGCGCTTCGTCATTTTCTAATAATTAATTCCAATATTATTCTCACGAACCGAATGATACACACTTTCACATTTTCATTATTTTTCAATCTGTTGGCCTTTTGAATTGTGTTTCGGTTTGTTTTTTTTTTTTTTATATATAATAATAAATAGAAACAAAGGGGAAAATTAAAAATCGATTAAATTCCAGTCGAAATTTTATGCACTACGTTGATGATATATATATATATACGCCTATGTATTTTTGCTTTTTCATACTGAAATAGCAATCAATATATAGGATCTGTCGAAAATGTCGTTGATAACGCGAACTAAACGTAAATACACGTACTGTAGTGCGTTTAGTTGGATATGTGGGGTTGAACGTGAGGTTTTTTTTCCATCCTATTTTATTTTTCTATGTTTTTTATTTTTTTTCCTTTTCCTTCTTTATTTATTTTTCCAACGTTCCATGTAAAAAAGATTATTATCGGGGATAGAACGTACGTACGATAGCCATCGATCTATACCGATATTGAATCAAAAAGCTAAAAATAATCTTAATGCTTGGTGATCATAGTTTGAAACTCGAACGGGACAGATCAATCCTTGTTTTTTCTCAAACCGTCACAGAATTAGATTCAACTGACTATACGGTTGCATGCATGTACATATACATATATGTATATAAATACTTGAAAAGCATTGGCTTATATAACACTCTCTTAACCAAATATTCACGAGCAAGTATTAAAACTTTCCACGTTTATTTTCAATTTCAACTTCGAATCGTCCACTGGATATAAAACTATAAACCAAATATAATACTTACTTTTCGAAAATCCAATAATAAAACATGTTCGAATGTATTATACCTAAGTATTAATATTACCATCGGAATATTCGTAAAATGAATAACCAATCGGAATAATTATCAATTTTCTATTTTATTTTTTTAGAACGTCATATTGAATGGTGCATACGAAAATATATCGTTATGTTTAAAAGAAAAAAAGAACAAAAGTGGACATTAATATGCTGAACGCGTATCAACCTGTAAAACAAAATTATTAAAGTGGGATTACGTCAATCTTAAAATAAAAGTAACTTTGACCCGACACATATTTTTTCCTATTATTACTAATAGCAATCGAGCCTATTAGAGTGATGGCCTGTTTTAAATACTTCACCGTGTATATTATATCAGATTATTGAGTTTACTCTTATTTAACGATCGAAGAAGCATGAAAAGAACTAACGCTCATATGAATACACCTATCAGAAATCGTTAGATCGACGTCACACACTAACACATTAATATACACACACACTAACACACTAATATACACGCACGCGTGAGAAAGATGAACTTTCATTCATCGATTGTTATAACGAAAGGTCGTAACACTTTATTAACCAACGATGCATCTCTCTCTCTCTCTCTCTCTCTCTCTCTCTCTCTCTCTCTCTCTCTCTCTCTTATAGACATTCTTTATCCGCGTGACCTAATCTCACGTTTTTCCAAGGCTGGGAACGTTTTCGTGAACGAACAAGCTTCGACGATACCCCACAGGAATGTTAAACGTTTCGGAACTCATTTTGGCTGAGAGAGAAATTGCCAAGTTATCCTCCCCCTCCCTACCACCCCCACCTCCACTTTCACACAACCTTTTACAACCCCCAACCCACCGCCACGTCCCGCACAAATCTCCTGTTTGTTTTTCAGTTAACTCGACGGAATTGGCGTAAACCGCGAGAGTTAGTAATTTATGATGCTTACAAGTTGTTCCCGAATCCTGTTCGACCAACTGGAAAAGAAAAGTAAAAAGAAAAAGAAAAAAAAAAAAAAGAAAAAAGAGAAACTTTAACTTATTGCGTATGATCTATAACGCCTAACGCCATTGCCATCTTTCGTAGTTACCGGCTTGGAGTTTAGTCGTCTTATTATTTCTACTTTTTTTTTCTTTTTTCATCTTTGCTTAACTGTAAATCCTTTTCTCTTGGCGATCGGTAACGTTTATTTTTTAATATAATATTATTACAAGAGCAAAACATATTACTAATTTGTAATATGTCAGACTATATTTCATGATTTAAAAATTGTATTAGAATATTTATAAAATAAAAAGATACAAAACCCTTATATAAATTTTATTCCAATCATGTGAATTTATATTTTTGTAGAAGTTGCGGTGGTGGAATATCGAAGCAGCAACGAAGATGTAGGCGGAAACCTTGCAAGGGAAGACCTTGGAGTACCAAATACAAAGTCTGCAATTCTCAGGTAACACAGCCCCTTTCGCACACGCATACGTGCATACTTACATTTCATATGTTTTTCGTAAGAACAGAGAAAGAACAAAAATATCGAAATATTTAACAAATACCCAAGGGAATCTGACAAATGAATTCCAGAAAAATACAAGTTTTAACGAAATATTATTTATTTATGCAAGAATACATAAATCCGGAAACAAGATTGAAGTTTTAACCGAATCACGGCTTTCTAGCATTGTTGTTGTTGTTGTTGTTGTTTGTTATCGTCAGTGTTATTATTATTATTACTGTTGTTATAACTATATATATATATATATATATAAATGTATAACAAACGTGAGGGAATCCACGAAGCAATTGAATTATCAGGGGAAGAGTAACAGACTGGCGAAACAATTCTCACTTCGATGAAACATATGCATCGGGACACACGAGCGATGGTTCTAACGATCGAGAGAAGGCGAACCACCACCACCATCACCACCACTAACACTAATACTAACACCAGTATCAACACCAGTAAAACCAGCACCGCCAGCAGCAGCAGCAGCAGCAGCAACAACGAGAGCAGGAAATTCGTGGTTCGTGCAAACAACGAAACGAAGTTAACTCTGTCATTTAACTCGCAACTTTCCAAGTTCTGTTCGTCGTTTCCACGACGATACGCCACCGTGGCCTCGATTCTATTCGTTCGAGAAATAAAAAAGAAGATAGAGTGAGAAATAGAGAGATAAACAGAAAGAGAAAGAGAGACATAACATTTTGTTTCTTTTCTCTTAAACAACGATCGTTTTAGCATCGTCGATTGTTTTTATTACTAATGTTTCTCTTTCCCTTTCTCTTTCTCTACAGATAGAAATTAGCATCAGAACGAATTTTCTTCATTGAAATGAGCACACTAGAGAAATTGTCAGAAAATACGTGTCGTATTATATAATGTAGAACAATATATCTAGTTTTGATAAGTACGAACGGAAATTAATCACCTTTAACTTTGACGTGAACAAACATGCACACGTATATATTATAACGCGATCTATCGAATAATTTAATACGACATAGAAGTTTGATAGAAAAACAAAGAAAGTTTGTCGTCATTGATGCGTAAGGTTCATTAGTTCGTAGACACGTTTGCTAGTCAGTCGATTTATACTTGTGCTTTGATTATGACATATGTATAACGATAGGGTTTGAGAACGGAAGAAAATTGAGATAGGTGGAGGTAAAGGATTATGAGAAAAAGGGGGTTGAGAAGACGGAGGTAGACGCAAAAAGAGATAGAGAGAAAGAGAAAGAAAGAGAAAGAGAAAGAGAGTTCGGGCTTGCATGCATGCATGCATGCTTGCATGCAGGAACGTGCTCGACGATGCAAGCTCGTGGAAATACACAGACGCTCTGCGGATAGTCGAGCATAACCGAGGCTAACATCGAGATGCGCCGCTCGACCTGACCCACATTCGAATCTAGGACAAAGACTTTTCGGGATGAGAGAAGACCGAACTAGCAGCATCCGCATTCGTACCCGCACAACCCACCACCAGTATTACCATCATCATCACTAGGACTACCAGGAACTAGGTATTATTACCAATACCAGTATAATATCACCATTATGTCAGTGCCATCGTCACCCCGCTAGGGTTACAAACTTCAACCCTAGTAAAAGGGATCGAAAGCCAACCACGTCGTGGTGGTACGCCGAGGGCGAACGTCTCTCATTGATATCTCTGCCAACTCGATATATATCTACTCCAGAGATGGTAGGGGTAGTTACTACCATCCCTCAAATACGTTTCCATTCGTTTTCGAATAAAGCTCCAGCAATATCGCATTGTCTCGATCCGCGTTCTCATAATACCGAATATGGAACAATTCGATCTGCTGAAAAGGAGACAAACCCGGATAAGTAGAACATCCGCTGAGTAAATACGGCATCTGTTTTATCTCGAATTTGCATTTGATAACGTTAAACAATATCTAACTTTTTTTTTCTCATTTATGTGGAAATACGAACTGGAAAATCATTTCTCTTTTTTTTTATGAATGAATTTATCAACTCTTTTTATTATTAGATTTAATTAACAATAAAAGTTATCGAGATTGGTTATAGAATGTTGTTTTAATACGAGGAAATATTTCTTTTACTTTTTCTTGCAATATTTTACTCATTAAGATTTTCAAATAATTTTGATATGATATCGTATCCAATTTAATCAACAAACGATCAGTCAAAACTCAACGCGACTTTTCGTAAACAACACGTTACCACTATTCAAATAGTTTACAAGTCCTGCAAACGTTTTTCTCTCTAACGTTTTTTTCTCTTTTTTACTCTTATTTCTTAGTCTCACATCCGATCGATTTGATTTATTATCCAGACTACGAGGCAACATTTTCTCTTCTACTTCTTTCCCCCCAACCCTTGACGTATCTCAACAAAGCAAACTAAAGGAGAAGGGCAATCGAGCAAAAAGAAATCTCAAACTTCTTAACGCTTTCTTGATTTACAGAAGCTCGAAGAGACACGTGTATCGGTTTATCGATCTTTCCCTTCCAACCCCTTACCCTAACTACTCTCCGTGCACACTCATTATATATATATACTTGTAAATGTAACTGTGGACTAACTAAGTCCACAAATTGAAAATAGATTTATTTTATAATTAATTTATTATAACAATTATTTATTCTATATAAACAAAAATCACCAATTTCTTAAATAATTCTAAATAAAATTATATGGAAATTAATAACAGATATTAATTAACGTCATTAAAAAAAAAAAAAAGAAAAATAAAATACAAAATATAAGAAAATTCTTGAGCACAGAGATATATATATATGTCTCAAATTATTTCCAAATTATAATTTCGCAAATAAATAGAAAAATTTGTACCGTGATATTATTTAACGAAGTAATAGATATCATAGATATTTACGTAGAAAGTATGTACATACATATACGGGGTTCCCGTATACACAGTACTCTTTACGAAAGATGGTCCTCTGGGTACGTGCTACTGTGGACAATAATTTAACCATAGAACGATAAATTTAACGTTAAAATCCAACTGGAAGGGATTTACGTTCATGGTATAGCTCTCTCGCTTTACGCCCTACCACCCTCATCCCTACACTTCCCCCTTTTAACTATATCTTCGTCCTTGCTTCTCATTCTTGCCTAAACCATCCTCACCCTCCTTGCCTAGCCCTTTCTCTCTCTTTCTCTTTTTCTGTCTATCTTTCTATCTGCTTGTCTGTCTGTCCTTCTCTTTCTTTCTTCAACATATGCAAAGCTTTACAATGTTACTCTCCACTCACGTATTCGCGGACAAAGGGATTGTAAATTGTCAGCTCGTTATAAACGAAGAATAATAGCGAAGTTGCGACACGCCTCTCTCGCAAACCAATTCTCGACTATTCGTTTCGCACATTTTTATTTATTTCTTTTTTCCTTTCTCTCTTCTTTTTCTTTTCTTTCGTTTCTTTTTTTTTTACAACCTACCCTTTCCGTTTGTAGCAATGGAAGAAAAAAAAGTTCATTAACGCGTCTACTTGGGAGACGAAAATTCGTGTCCGGTCTATTTATTTATTTTTTTTTTTTTATTCTTGCTTTCTCTCACTCGTTATACTCGAAACGGTACAGTACCACTGGAATTTAAGTTACACGAATTATTTTTCCTTTTCTTTATTTTTCTTCTTCTTATTCTTCTTTCTCTCATACTCTTGTATATCAAGTTTTAAAAATGAATTTTTCAACATAGAAATTCGAGACGCGAGTGATTTTTACTCTTTTTTTTTTCGTAAAAAAAGAAAAAGAAAAAAGATGGTGGGGTAAAAAAAGAAAAAGAAAGAATCTTGAAACTTGCCGTCCCGTCCCGTCCCTAGGAGAGAAGAACGTTTCGTTTGCTCTCATTTTCTCATAACAAGACTCGACTTCGTTCACGATTTCCTCGTACCCCTTCCCCCTGTTCTCCTTTGCGTATGTGCATATACGTAGGTACGAACGCGAACGAACGAACGAACCGTTTCCTTCGTGATTCGCTTAACAAATTTTCTCTAGTAGTATTTCACTTGGTTTCCTCTATACTACAATTTTTCATAAAAAAAAAGATCTACTTCATATATACACCTGCGTATAATTAAACAACGTTCATCAAAAATCTGGATAACAATTTTGAAATAAAATAATAATAATAATATATGTATATATACACGGGGTACTAGGAATAATTATTATTAACTCAATTATATATATATATAAAACACCAAAAATATATATTCGAACATAATGATCGTGTATACCAACAATTAAAAAAACTCTTGTCAAAAAAAGAAAAATGTATGTAAAAATAATACAACATAGGTAAGAGATGTACAATAAATATTCGTCGATATCGATTTCCTTTTATCTATCATACTTTTCTCAAGAAAAGAAAAAGCAGACAATTTAAAGCAAAACAAAAAAAAAAGGTATCGATATTACGATCGTAGACAATAAGGAAAAAGGGATGCAACGAACCATTTCAGTTCGAAGATAGCAGTTCGTCGTCGAGGTAGTCAGTAAATCTAGTATCGCAGATTCCACGCGAGATCCTTGCAACTTTAGGGGTTGGTGGTAGGGGAGAATCGGAACGTGAGAGTTAGCAAAGAGAAGAGGATAGATAAAAGGAGAGAAAGAAAGAAAATGAAAAAAGGAAAGTAAGAGAGAGAGAGATAGGTAGAGGAAAGGGAAGAATCACGGGAAATGAAATGAGCGGCAAGAAAAGGGAACACAACGCCATTAGCATAACGAAACGGGGAGGCGTGCAGTGAATCCAGATTCCGTTTTCTCTCTCTCTCTCTCTCTCTCTCTTTTTCTATTCTTGTCCTTTCACCTATTCTTTGTCTCTCGCTTCACTTTGTCCTTTCCTTCCCTCTCTCTCTTTCTCTCTCTCTCTCTCTCTCTCTCTATATATATATATATTTCTTTTTCTTTCTTTCTTTCTTTCTAACTCTTTGTCTGTT